TGAGCATTCCCTGCCAAAACAAGACACACAGTTGCAATCTGAGCTACATCTATGTTTTAGTGCTGGGGGGGACGGAAGCAGTGAAAAATTAATGCCTTGGTCACATCAGCTGCTCATTTCCATTTCCCCTTTGAAGCCTCATCCAAAACGGATAAGGCAGGAGAGTCAAACACAGTGCTGCCATATCGTTACCTTGGCCTTCTAGTAATTTCGGCTCAAAAATGGAAATATATTCTTATTACTCTTGAAGCAATAGGTCATAACTCGTATCGTACCAAGTGTTGCACACACAGCAGAGCTGCTGCTCGTGCAGTGGAGCTTCCCAGCGAAGCAGGTAAAAGCAGGCAAGGAACAAGCGGAGAGCAGCGGAAGAGAGAATCCCAACACAGGCACCTGACGCAGGCCTGCTCCTACACACAGAAAAGCTCCCTAAAACAAGCCTACAGACAAAGAAACTAAATTTAAGATAGATTTGACTAGCGTTACGTCTCATTAAATACTTGCCATTTGTTTTAAGGTACCCTTTTAACAGCAGAACTAAGGGGAGCAGTCCTTGCGGAGCTCGTGTCGGGTGACCAGGAGGCTGTGCCACGCGTGGCCCAAGGCTCATTGCAGTCAACAGGCGCTTCCCACCCCCTTCAAAGGGTGGGGAGCTGCACCCAGGTCTGGGGACCCTTGAGCCAAATCTGCTGACAGTTAATCGTCTGCAAGGACAGAGCAGCTCCTTTGGTTCCTGGAAATTTATACCAGAATGACTAGAAGGAGTGTTTGGTACCTTGGGCTGTTTACCTTCCCCACCGGATTGACTCAGGGTTACGAGCATGGCGTGCGTTACACAGCCGTGGCCATGTATGTGGAACTTCTATACAACATCACAACTACACGTGTCTCCTCCCCACACAGAAAGAACAGAAAAGACTCTGCATTTGAAAATATGAACATAGCACGGACACTTGTATGAACGCTCTGCTACCCTCGATCTTTGTATTTTCGTTCAGCCACAAGAGACAGAGACGGGAACACCTTATTTATTCCATTTGATGGGCCCAACGCTGTTCCAACCCATATATTCTGAACACCTACTTAGCTTCTACAGGATAAACCTTCCCAGAGTGCTACATGATAAGGTATTCTCATTCTCTTTTCAAACAGTGAATAATTAGGGTAGCTTTCAACTTAAAAGTACCCAACAACAACTCTTTCAAAATGCTATACTCTGGATAGTGCAAGGTGGGGCTGATATTTGTGTATTAGAAGAAACCCTTCTTTGTAATGCCGTAGTGCCAGTGTTCTGGGCACATGCCATGACCCTCCTGGGCAAGGTGCTGTACAAAGAAAAGTTCATTAATAAGCAAATATCTGAGAAAGTTTCCGGTTGAAAACAACACTATCAAGCGCAGCTTTGACAGAAAATGCTGAGAAATACTGCCTTTAAGATCCAATATCAAAAACACAGTCTTACTAGTTTCTTTTCATTAAAGCAGTTATATTAATAGACCAGCTTGATGCACAAGTTTTATTTCTCAGCGAAAACCATCAGTTACTGTCCAAACAACAATAAAAAAAGGCCTATTTTACTTGCTTAAAAACTCCCTGTTATGAATCAAAGGTAAACGTAAAGAGACGTGCCAGCATGAAAAACAAAGACTAAAAGGGTAGGATTCGTCTTACCAACCTTTGTGCTTCTAAGATGTAGCCAGCTACTTCTGAGCTCATTACTCTGCTTCCCTCTACAATCAAGTCAGAGAAAAATGCACTTTCAGGGAGCAATTCATGGAACCAAATCTAGGGAGCTACATTAGGACATCATGAATTGCATCCGAGCAGTGCCTATTTCTTTGCAAGGAATACAAGGGAAGTCCAAATAACCAGCTCAGACAGAGATGTCTCCAAATTAATTTGTGGTTAAATCGGTGGTGATGGCGTTCCGGACGTGCAGTAATGAGTACACAGTATGTGGTCGTTCCAGTGGGGTTCTGCGTCTAAATATTTTACATCAATATTAAAACCAAGTGCCATACTAAGGCAAATTAGCTGTTGGCCAAGTCCAACATTCGTCAAAGCTGGTACTTCAGGGACGCGTGTGTGTGTGGATAAGGCCTTAGGAGGAACATTACGGAATAACCTGCCCATAAGATACATTTCATAGCCTCCACCGCTAGCGCTTGTCATATTCCTTACGTTTTTCACAGTATAATAGCGAAGTACTTTGTGTACGCTCCGATGCAAGCACATACACATATTGTGCAACTTATCAGCTCAGTGATGTCCCCGAGCCCCCTCTGCGCCGGCTGGGCAGTTGCTCCAACCGCCTGCACCAGGCTTTCTGGTTCCAGACAAACACGGGTTCGCCTGTAATGTAGAAAACCAGCCTGCATACAGCGGAGAGCAGGCAGGGAGAAGCAGCTCGGGGGGAACTCTCAGGCATATCACATAATCCTTTTTGAAGTATTTGATCTTAAATTTAAGTGGCACTCCTTCCTCACAGCAATTTTATTTCTAAATACATCATAAAACCTTACGATTCTGTGCAATGGAAAGAGACTATTACAGAATCTCAATATTTAACAGTTTTAATATTAGAAGTTAGTACTGTAATTACAGACTGCATGTTCAAAGCAGTATGCAAACATTAATTATTCTTTGCAGCAGCCCAAGGAGGTAGAAGAAGATATTTGTTATAAAATAGCTTCGGTCAGGAAGTTCAGATTCAGATGCACAGTTCCAGAATACTTTAGTATGCTTTCACTTAATTTTGTAACTAAATTCTATTAAAATACTTAGCTTAAAGGTCTGATGGTTTACTAAATCCCACATATCAAACCGGTGGCAGAACCAGAATTAGCTCTCCAGAGATCCCGATAACAGCTACTGGACAATATTTCCCATTTAAAATAATGTTTCCATCTGCCCACAAGCGTGCTAGTCTAATATGTATCATATAAAAACTGACTCCCATTTCACCATCGAAAGCCTACAGAAGATGTGCCAGGCCTTGTAGAAGAAAACAGGCCACTTCTCCTATGTTTACAGCAAGCTTCTTTTTTCAGCAACGGCTGAAAATTCATCAGGTGATGAACAGAGAAATGTGACCTCCTCTGTCACCACCCCACCTTGCTGCTTTTGGAGGACAAACCAGGACTCAGAGGCAGATGTGCCCGTATCTGCCGAAGCTCTGGCAGGAGGGTGAATTTTTATATGACCGCCCTTTAAATGCACATCTAGTTTAGAAATGAGTCAGAGTCCCCATGTGCCCTGGAGACGTTCCGATCCGGATTTAGATCTGAACTTTAGATCTTTTTTATCTCTCTCTCTGAAAGTTAGAGTGGACTATTCAGGCTCCCGGGAGCTAAAACAGAGTAATGCTTTATCTTCTCTCTTGCTAATGCATCAATTGATTTTCTTTTTGTGAAAAAATTGATTTGGTTAATATTCTTCAACAAGGACGGATGCCGATCTTCGGCCTGCTAGCACCTTTATTTATCCAGCTAACAACAAGGAGGAAAAAAACCCACAATCTGGAGCTGAACGATGACATTGTTTTGCAAAGACAAAGCAATCAATAAGAGTTTGGACTGAGCAAGGACATCTGGATGCCTACAGTCTTACTTGTTACAATAACCTTACATTTGATTCTGAAAGGTAACAATCATTGTATTGAAGAAGTCATTAATTGTACAGTTATCAGAATACTGCACGGCTTTGAAAACACTCTGATCTACAAGGTGTCATAATTAATAACTACGTTTTAAAAATTAGGTGGCTGTAGAAAAGGAGATGTTTCAGATCATAGGTGCTGCTGTATCACTGAAGTTCAGCTCATTGAAGCTGAAGATCAAAGAGTAGACAAATCCCTTTGGTAAGGAACATGACTAGGGATCCATCAAAACGGCCAAAAATACGTCGTCATTTGGGCTAAACCAGCAGTGAAAACAGAACTTCAGTCTAGGTTTAACACAAGCTATTATTTCTTATTAAAACACAGGTGTGTCTGCACTATGCTTTTAATGTGCATTAACTAACTGAGGTCAGTCACCCTCAGCTAAGATCCCATCATTAAAGTCTGTTTCCTAAGGGGAGAGGGCTAACGGCACTGTCTGTACCTGCCTAGTAACTTTTGAATCTTGTAGCCAATTTCAGCCAGGTTTGACAGAGGAGGAGGGTTCAGACTGACACACAGATCCTATGCACTGAATGAAAAGAAGCCTGTGCAGGAGGAAGATCCTGTGAGTGCTTCTACCAGGAGACAGCCTTCATCTTTATTTGTTACCAGAGAACCCCTATTACTGAGGAGA